ACACGACGACTAATCACAATCGACTCGTATAGAAATGATATCATCGAGAGCGAATGATGAATCATTGGCACTATCTTATCTTATCTGCAGTAACGCACTTTCGTTGCATTTGTACGGATTTACACCCTAGTCGCGTCTAAAGAAGTTTTACTTCAAAAATTTTATAAAATGACTATTTGTATGAGTAATTAATTCCACAACAAGAGATAAACATAAACATTTTCCCACGTTCTAAAATTACAATTCCCCTTCTGACTATTGATTAAAACAACTTCACATTGACCACCAGTGTTGATTTCCATTCAAGCCCACCACCAAATTGTTACCATATTAATACAATTAGTGGAAACTATGTGTAATATTGTATTTAATACGCGTTTGATTAGACCGGAAACCGGAGAATTTCTGTGAAGTTCTATTTCTGCCTGCCATTCTGTTGGGGCAATCGTGCAAATAACTAAATAACTAACCCTTATATGAGGGTTTCTCGTAGGGCCTCTTCTCTTGAGGTCTTTGATGCCTCCGAGAATTCTATGTGGTGTGTTTGTATGTTTGTTCGCATCGCCAGATATTACTTGGACCGAACTAACAATGAGAATTGTAAATGCAAACCGTTTTGCTTAACAATTATGTATTTGATTTGTTTGAGACGGAAATAGAACGTTTGACGAGTTGGGGGAAACTAACATGGTAGTAACGGTCACAGAATTTAATAGTGATAAAAATAAACTAGGGGTGTATGGCATCGTGCCTTAAGGCAAATGCTGAAACTTCCCGTACCGTAACGAAATGTTCGAGAAATATTAAATTTAAGATTATTATAAATACTGTAGCTTTCATTATTCGTATTTTGTAGACAAAATATAAGAGCTTATAAATTAGACCATTACGTTTAGATGTGTTTATTTGAAAAGTAAATGAACAGAACTTAATGAAGCAGTGTGAAAATATAGAATCTTATCTCATATTTCTAAGAATTTTATAAACTGAATTGACAAGTTATTATTTATTTCATGTGAGCTTTAAAATTTTAGTTAGAATGAAACTCAAAATCCAAATCATTTTCGATATTTAAAAAAACTAGCGACATATTACACTTAATATTGAACATAAAATAATTTTTCACAGTTCAAAAAATTAAATTTTATATTAATATTTTATATCAAAAAAGAAACAAATATACTCTAATATATCCAACTTATGTTATAAGAAATCACGAATTATTAAAATTTTGCAAATTTGAATAAATTTAATTATGAATTAAAAATAAAATAAATGACAGTTATGAATAAGCCGAGAAATTCATGGGCAAATAAATTTATGATTAAGATTTAATTTTCCAAAAAAATTTGAAAGTTCAAAATTTAGTGCATATATATATATATTAATTTGACATTAACTAATTTGGAAAAAAATTAAATAGTGGGGCATGGCATTGTGCCTTAAGGCAAATTGCTGGAACTTCCAGTACCAAATATTTAGTTTAAAAAAGAAAAAAACACTTAGTTTTGGAACTTTGAAAAAATAGATTTTTGAGAATTTGAATTTTTTTTAAAATATTTTTTTTAATTTTTTTTTAAATATTTGATTTTTTTATACTTTGATATATTTTGAAAAGATCAAACTGTTTTTCAATACAATCGCGATATTATTAAAATATCTATAATACGTCTGATAATTTGATGTGCATATGTCTGATGATCATTTTTGTCCGCCAAATGACTTTTTTACTTTTTTTATTGGATCTCCGAAACCGCTAGACCTGCCTTCTCAAAAATTTTACCAGTCGTTCATTTTGTCAATACAAGTAAAATGTTTTTTAAATTATTCAAATTGGTTGATTCACGTCCCCGAAATCGTCTACAAAAATTTGTATCCGCACACATAACACACACGCACACACAAACATATCCATTCTTTCGAAGGTATACCAAAATGTTCAGAAACCTCTGAAACGTGAAGAAATGCAAAAGTTTTCATTTTAGATTTTAGACCGTTACTATAACGTACCCCGGGACGGAAGTTAATATAAAGATGAAATCAAATTTAACAAATACAAAATATAATTTAAATTGTCAAATTTTCAAATTTTCAACAAGTTTATAACAGTGTGTCAGCAAAAAATATTATTTTTAAAACTTCATACCCATATCAAGCAACAAAAGTTAATAAATAATTTTTATAAAATTGGGGCAACATATTATTTATATGTTATAACTTATTTGTATTTTTTGACATTTACTAATATCAAATAAATTAAAAACAATTGAGTTAATAAATTAAAAACGGATCAGATAAAATCGGATATTATGAAAAAAATATCAAATATATCTATTTTTTATTTAATGAAAATATAAGAAAAATTAATTCGAATGTCAAAATACATCTAAAATAATAGTACACATATTATAATTCTGGTACTCAATCATCAATTATTTTACTTAATTAGACAGAAAAATGAAGAAAAGTAAAATAAAAGCGACAAAAATCACAATTTTAATAAATTTGAACTCGAATCCAAGGATAGAATGAATATCAATTTATAGTCGAATAAAATATTTTATAAGTGATTAAAACTAATTAATTTGACAATTACAAATTTAAGAAAAAAATACTGTAAGAACGATGATTGTCAAAAATCAGAAAATTTCTGGAAAATTTTCAAAGAAATTATAACAATTTCCCAAATTTATAATAAACTTTAAATGTTTGATTTCTTTTATTAATATAAGATTTAAACAAATTAAGTAGTGATGTGCCGACTCGAAAAATTCCTGATTCGAATGATTCGAATCAGAAAAAAACCTGATTCGAATCATGATTCGAATCAACTCGAATCAAGTATATATATGGACAAAAAAAAATCATGGATGTATTAATTTAGTAAAAGTGATCAAATTTATAATCAAAATTGTCAGTTTAACCAATATAACCGACAAAGTAGAAATTGTAAACATAAATTACTATCAAAAAGTATATTCTGAAAATTATTAAAAATGATATAATTTTGAAGACGGCTGAAATATATCTTCAAATTAATTTACCATAATAAATTACCAAACAATTGTGCATAACTAAAGTATATAAAATAATATTTGGAATCATGGGTCGATTGTTTATTTTACTATGTAATCAGTAAAGGATCGCATCTAAACTGAGAGCTAAAAGTTAATTTAATTAATGTGAATTTGCCATTACTTACATAATCAGAAGTTAACATATTATTTACTGACTTTCTGGTGTTTAGTAATTGTTTCAAAAGAGAATTATATTGAAAGATTCCCGAAACTCGTTTCATAATTTCGAGTGGTTTATTCTGATAACATTTAAAATCTAAAACACTTAATTATTATCAAAATTGGGTATTGATATTTCACGAACAAAATCGCTCTCAGCTCTCCGTAAAATAAATAAACATGCAAGAACGACGACGCATTGTATCGCCCATACGGTTAACTCATATCGCTTGAACTCATATCGCTTGAACTCATATCGCTCGAACGGCTTGAAGTCGGGATGATTCGAATCAGAATTGAATTCGGTTTGACTCATATGAAGTCGGAACAACTCATATCGCCGCTTGATTCGGTTTGAGCCGTATGAAGTCGAATGATATAGTTAGTCGATGAATGCGGTTAAAGTTATATAAAGACGATTGGAGTCGGCCGATACATTTAAGCATATTAAAGGCGGGTGGCTCGCATGATTTTATTCATTATTTATTTTTTATATTTATGATATTTATTTTTTATATTATTATAATATTGAATTAAATTAAAACATTTTTTTTATATTTATATTTATGAAAAATTTTATATTTATGAAAAATTTGTGTTAATACATATTTTATCACAGTAAATATTTTGCGGCTTGATACGAGTTGATTCGAATCAAGTAAAATCTGATTCGAATCAAGTCGTTAAAGGCTTGATTCGAATGATTCGAATCACTTGATTCGACTTGGCACATCACTAAAATAAGCAATAGTTGTTCACGCCAAAATTAAAGCATCCGATATCATGAAATAAAAACAAAAGAAATGTGACCAAAAATCAGCACAAATAAAATCAATCAATACAATACAATTAATTTTGAGAATATTGTAAATACAAATACAATTTGTAGTTAGAATAAACACATATTTAATATTACAATTAAAGTGTTTTACAACAAATTGGCCCTTCAAAAATCAAACCGAACAAACAATGGTATTGAATAGTTGATTAATCCATCAAATTCAAAGTTTAATCTAAATTTCATTTATTAATCGATTGATAAAATGTTTAATAAAAAAAATAAATGTTGGTTGGTTGGAACGGATTCAAATTTTAATCAGGTAAATTTTAATAAAAACCGTAGCTACGCGTGGCCGGGCCTGCTAGTATATATATATATATATATATATATATATATATATACCATTACCCATTACCCATTACCCTGTTACTTTATAAAACTCAATTCCCGGTACGCATTTTCATTTCTCCAGTATTTTTCTATTTTTCTTTTTCATAACTTTGCAACAAATAACGACGTTGTTAAAAAGGTTTCGCTTCTCTCGCATAGTTTTTATTGCTTTCAACAATACGATAACTGTTATTATAAATTCTCGAGGTATTTTCTAAAACTATTATAACAAAGTTGCTCTGGATGGAAACTAACTCTGCTACCGATACTGATACTGGTTTTCCCGCAAGAAATTTCCCGGAACGAATTCTTCGAAACTTTGATTGCATGAAAAACATCTTGGAAACAGGATGAGAGGATTCTTTGGTTTCAGTAACAATCTTATGTCATAGTTTCATGTTTTGTATTATAATAATATTTGCAAACAAGGGAATTAGAGAAGTTAATAAAGGACTAGTGGTGTATGACGATGTGCCCTAAGCCACGGTGCTGGTTCTTATGGCGTTCCAAAAAAATAGTTATATGAAAATAATTTTATATTATATATATATATATATATATATATATATATATATATAGTTTTTATCTCTTACCTGTAAATTTCTAAATTGAGGTGTCCCACACAGCCTCCGAACAAGCGAACGCAATTTTTCACAAAGTGGTCCACGTCTAGAATTGCTTCGGGTCTTTTCAGCTGCATTTCCATCTAAAAATAATAAAAGTATTTAATTAAAATTACAGCCGTAATTAGACAACATAAATATTCATTATTTTATATGTCATATGTAAAATGTTTCTAGTGCAGACGTTTTACAAAATATACTGGAGGATAAGAATAGTATACAAGTGTGGTTTTGGCAATGAAATAAATAATTAAAATTGTAAAGGAAATAATTATAATCGCTTGAGATTTTCCATAAAAAATAAAAATCGTTCTGAATGTATGAAAATATAGTTAATTAAGAACGTAATTCAATTTTTACTAAATATTTCAAATTTACTTTATATTGTATTCAAGTTTCAATCAGTAACCAATCTAATTTAATTAGAACAATCCGTAGTGTTGTATTGATATTTAACAAAAATATAAATTTATTAACAATTAGAATTTTTATAAATTTAAAAACTTTAAAAAAAATCAACATAATTGCCAATTACTAAATTTCAACTTCTAGTACAATTTTTTAATACTACGATACCTTTCTTATACTGCAATGTGTTTTCTATCCAAATCAAATTTAATTATTAGAGCAGTTATTTTTTCTAGAGGGAAAGTTTGTTTCTAGACAGAGTTAATGATAGGTCGATTATTAAAATATTTTACTATCTTACTATTCTATTATTTTAATATTACCTAATAAAAGTGGTTCCTTGACTCCTGCTTCTAAATCCCTTCGTCCTGTTGGAGCAGCTGGTAAACTGACAGGACTTCCTGCACTACTTCCACCATGTTCACTTTCTTCTAAAATACCTCTAGCTACACCAGCCTACGAAATAAAGTATAAAATATTTAATTTTAATATACATGATAGTAAGTAATTGTAAGTTCATGCCATTTCTCATGTCGAATATCAATCTACCAGATTTTCTCTCCCCATGAATAAAATTTGAATATATAAATATTGATAATATTAATTATCTAAACGATTCGAACAGAGTAGAATTTTAACATTCAAATCTCGATAAAATATGCGAATTTAAATAATAGTTTGTGAGAAATTTATAATTTCTTTTTAGTACGTGAGTAACCAAGTTTGCAATTCCTCCTCTTTGAAAAATACTTATTAAATTTTGAATCTTAATTAATTCTCAGTGAAGCAAAGAAAACTTATAATTTTGTTTAAAAAAAAAGATAATTTAGATCTCTTGTTACAAACTTATTTAACAAAAATTTAAAATTCTGAAAAAACATGTCAAATTAGTAAATCAAATTAAATTTCTCTGTTAACTTCCCCATTATTAATCTAAGTTATAATAATCGCACAAAAATCGAAAATGAGATATTTCATACATCTATACGTTTCAAAACCCTCTGAACATTTTGGCATACTTTAAAAAAAATGATGTATGCGTGTGTGTTTATGTGTATGTATGTGCGCATACAAATTTTCATCGACGACTACGTGAACACGAATAACCGATTTGAATTATTCAAAAAACATTCGATTCGTATTGATAAGGAGACGTGCTGATTAGTTTTTGGCAAAGGCAGGTCCAGGCGTTTGGGAGATATGAAGCAAAAAGTGACAAAAATCGTAATTCAGTTTTTGAGATAACGCATCGTCCGATTTGAATGATTTAAATAACATTTTATTTGTATTGACAAAATGAAAAAGGCAAATTACTGAAACTTTTCGTGCTAAAAATTAAAACTTATGAAAACGGTTCACACTTTTTTGAAGTTTGGAGAAGTTAGACTTTTGAAAATTTTGAAATGTGTATAAAAAAATAACTATTTTGAAAAATTTGAATTGTTTTCATATTTTGAAATTTTTAAAATTTTAAAGACGAAGCGCGTAAAGTTTTTGGAAGGCAGTTCTTGTGGTTTTGGAGATCCATCAGTAAAAAAATGCCATTTGGCTGTCAAAAATGATCATTATACATATGCACATCAAATGATCAGATATTTCATTTCAGAAATTTTAATAATGAGTACTAAATTTAGTTTATTTCTCTATGGGTTACGTACCAATTAGACTGCGTCACGGCGCTTCGTCTTTAAAATTTAAAAATTTTCAAAATATGAAAAAAATTCAAATTTTTCAAAATAGTCATTTTATACACATTTCAAAATTCTCAAAAATCTAACTTCTCCGAAGTTCAAAAAAGTGTGAACCGTTTTCAGAAATTTTAATTTTCGCTCGGAAAGTTCTAGTAATTTGCTTTAAGACAAGATGATGTGCACCACTAGTTTATTTTGCGACTAAAAACTTCTAACATATTTCTTAACTTTTCAGATTGTTTCACAAACTATAACATTCTCAATTTTCATTTACTTCGGATGCATGTTTTCCATTGGAATAATTTATGCAAATATTGGACTTTAAAATGCATTTCCAATCGAGTTCTCGTGATATATTCCGATTAAAAGCAACTTCAATCTATATTTATAACTCGACTGTGCATAACTTTGCATGCTAAAGTTTTTTCTTCCTAAAAAGTACTTTCTTAATCTAGTATTCAACTCCACTAATGAAATTATAATTTATGCAGTTATAAATAAAGTTGTAGCTACCATTACATTACATTTATTATAGTGTATAGTTTCGTATCGCATTTATTTTCGAGTTATTATTTTCCTTCACGTCATATGATGTATAGGATGAAATTTAACTTCGGAAACTTTTAGTGTTTAATGAATTTTAATGAACTTCATCACGATTTAATTTGCTCAACTGACTGACTGACTGACGAATTGCTTTTGAATTATTTAAAATGAAAAGTTAGAGTTTTGTCTGGAAACTGTTTTTTCATAGTTGTTTGAGAAAACTTTCTCGATTAATTCTCTCGAGTTAAATCATTGATTTTAATATAAATATATACATATATAGGTAGGGTAAAGTGGGTAGAAAGGTCCATCATCAATATCTCAAAAACAAGTGAAGTTAAGAATTTTTTAACAATAATATTTGAAAGCAGAGGGCAAAAGTTGTACAACAGGCTATCACCTAAATTCTTACGACGTTGCTATCGGCAGATGAACAAAGATGTTTAACTAGTGGGGCGCATGGCATCGTGCCTTAAGGCAAATTGCTGGAACTTCCCGTACCAAAAATTATTTTTTTTAAAAACGATTAACATTTTTGTAAAAAATTTACTCTGAAAAAATTAGGTTTTTGAGAAACTATAAATTTTTGACAAAAATTTCCTTTTTTTTGAAAAAAGACGTTTTGAAGAAAAGACGTTTTGAAGAGAAATTTATTTTGAAATATTTTGGAAATTCTGAACTTTTTTTTAAAGCAATCGTAGTGCTTTAACTGCATAGAGACGAAATATCAAAGCGCGTAAGCGCCGCGTCGCCGTCTAACGCGTAAACATTGGTACGGAACCCATAGAAATGTAAACAAAATTTATACTTATTGTTAAAATCTCTATAAAATGTCTGATACTTTGATGTGCATATCATTTTTGACCGCCAAATGGCATTTTTTTTAAACTTTTTTTTACTAGATCTCCAAAATCGCTAGACCCGCCTTCGTGGAAATAAGTTCTTCATCTTGTTAATACCAGTAAAATGTTCTTTGAATTATTGAAATCGGACGCTCCGTTCTCTTAAAAACTTAGTTGCCGTTTTTGGCACTTTTTGCCGCATTTATGCGGAACGGCTAGACCTGCCTTCGCCAAATCTAATCAGCATGTCTCCTCATCAATACGAATCGAATGTTTTTTGAATTATTCAAGTCGCTACACCCGTGTTCCCGAAATCGTCGACAAAAATTTGAATCCGCACACACAAACATACACGCACACACACACATACATCCATTTTTTCTAACAATAAGGTATGCCAAAATGTTCAGAAATCTTAGAAACGTAAAGATATATAAAAATTTTCATTTTCGATTTTTTTGCGATTTGCGACTATAACTTGCCCTACGGAAAGTTAATAAAAATGCTTTTGCTTGTAAGCACTGTTGTTTAGTTTACGAGACCTTAATACAATTTTTAAGTAGGGTAGGGCGGGGCTAGTTGAGCAATTTTTTACTTAAACGGATGTAGCTCCTCAATGAAAAGTCTAAATAAATTGCTATACGGCTTAATGAATTTGCTGTTTATCGCTTAACAAAAGTGTTAATACTATTTTTTGGTGATAAGTAAAATTTAAAAGCTACAGCTGTTTAAATGCAAAAAGTCAAGTATGCTCAATGTACCCCATAGGTGGGGCAAGTTGAGCACTAAGAAAGTATAATGAAATCATAGGTTCAATGTCGATTAGTGATGAAATAAAATAAGTTTTTAATAACCAGTTCTATATTTATAGTCTTTATTGACAGAGAAAACAAAACTTATAGTAATTTGCTTTGAATAATTAACGAAAAGTAGAATCAACAAAACAATATCGTATCATTGGAATTATTTTACCATTATATTCAGTATTTTTGTTCAAAATCGTTATTACTCATAGACTTAGTTTAAATCTTAAAAATAATAATTAATTTCTGGATGTTAATGGTAATTGTCTTAGTAACAGAACAAGTTTAGCAACTATGCTCAACTAACCCCAACTCGGAATTTTGAAATAAAAGTGAGTTTATAAAAAAACCGTGAGAATTATACCCAAAATCTCTGTGCATATTAAAAGTACTATAATTATATGGTAGAATAACATTTACCTGATTAAAAATAAATAACAATTGACTAAACCAGACGAAAACTTTTGATGAATTACTTTTTTACTTTTCGGTCTCAAAATAAACAAAACGGCCGTGAGCCTCACTCATTTGTCCAGCGGCCACTAGCGATCGCGGGATGTTTATTTCTTCCAAATCTCTATCTTTTCGCCATATAATGCCTAAACGGACAGTGAATAGTTTTCGAGATATTTCGATTGCTCAACTTGCCCCTATGCTCAACTAGCCCCGCTCTACCCTATACGTTATTTAATTGTTTTATGAGATGCATTGTTACTTTAAATTTAGATTCAACAGTTTTTTTTATAAAAATGTGGGTAGAGCAGAAAATAGGATCAATTAAACCTTTACCCTGGCAAAGGTGTTAACAGTAAAAACAGTAAATAAAAAAGTAAATTAAGTTAACAAAATCAAATTAACAAGAGTTATTATTTTCTGTATTACTAACTCTGTAAAAAATGTACCAATGAAATTTATATTTTGCATTGGTTGAATAATGTAGCTAGTATTTAGTAAAATGCATTTAAAATTAAAAATAAGACTTTGATTTGTTTGCCCCATAGGCGTCCTATTTTACCCCGTCTATGGGGGTAAATTTTTTGGAAAACAGAAAAACATATTTCCACAATGATGAATTAGTTGGGAGTTGTACTGAACATAGTCATATAGTTGTTTGTTTGATATGTGTTATTTGTTGTGATATACTTGGGTTGGTTTTCACAACATAATTGCTCAAAGTCTTTATAGTATTAAGATTTCAAAAACATTTATGAACAATAATATTACTGTTTTGGCACCTTCAAAATAGTACGAATTTTTCTGATGTCTAATATCAGCTCAATATGATGAAGTACGAGGGAAATAGTATTTATAATTAAGCATTTCACAATTAAATTTCTCAAACTATGTTATACTATTATTATAATTTCTCGAACAATATTTTAAAAATAAATGTCCTTAATTAAAATCAACTGCAATCAATCAATAAAAATCTGAAATTATAATTATAGAGATTACTAAAATATATTTTTTCCCTAAGTCAAAGTATCAGTTATTGACCCATATACTGTTTCTAATTTTAGCCACTCATTTTATATTAGGCAAATCATAAAAGGCACCTCTTGATAAAATCATATTAATGAATGCATAAAAATTTGGCGGCCATAAAGTCTGAACAGTCATAAAAAGAGAGTGGCGATGCTTTTAACAACCGGACTAATAAAACATCATCTGGGTTTCTTTCAATGGTCACGGATAAAATTCAGTTAAAAATGTGGTAAATATATTTATTGTAATCACTAATATAATCCTGATATTAAAACACCAATATCTTCAACTAACTCTGTATTGTCTATCTTTTATTTACAACATGCTAAGCAAACCATCACATATCAACACAATTTTTTAGTGTTATAGCCATTAAATTTGTAGACAAAATTTACATTGGTTTTGTAAATTTAGTAAGAGTGGATTGATTTTTTGTTCTATTATGAATTTAAATAATATAACTTACCTTTTTCTAATAATTATGATTTTGTTTTGCCAGTCTTAGTCTTGAAAAATTCGTGCCAATCCAGAGATGGTCGGAAAGGTGAGATAATATTTCAAAATTGCATAGAAACTTTATATTTTTAATTTGAACATTTTTGTAGAAGCGTTTGAATAAAACAATGGACGGTGGCTAATACGTGAAAAGTCAAACGTTTTTGACAAATGATGCTCAATTACGTTTAATAGGATGTTTTACGTGAATATTATTTAATTATGATTAAATTGTAGTAAGTAGTTTTGTTTGTAGTTTTATTTATATACAAAACGTTAGTAAACCGGCCGCAAGTGTTACTTGAGACTCAAAATATCAACTTTTTTGAAATGTTAATATGAAAATGCATTTTTGTCGTTGTAGCACTCTTTTTTGCAAATCACATTTTTCTCAAACACGGTGCTCTGAAAGATCTCTTAGTATAATTCTATACTCATTGGTATTTATAAAACATTTTCAAGGTTATATTATTTTTTATGTATGTTATTTCAATTCACAACCTCAATTTGGTATCGATCAAAGGGACATTTTGTCAAATAACACTTTTCCAGTTATAATTTCCCAGAATTTATCGAAGAATAAATAGTAATATATGAAGATCCGGGGTTAAAAAGGTCCACCACCGATGTGTCAAAAATCAGTAAAGTTAAGCATTGTTTAACAACAATATTTGAAAGTAGAGGAACAAAGATGTATAACCAGCTAAAACCTTGATTTGAAAACAATAATCTTTGAAATGGGGGAGATAAACGGTAATCTTTGAAAATCCATAATAAAAGTATTTTCTTCCGATGGTAGTTTTTAAACATTAGTTAAAAATGTAATTATTTTGTAAAATACCTTTAAAATTATAATAAGGATTCAAACCTTTTTGCCACCTGCCCGTTTCAAGTTACCCCGCCTAAAGGTCTAGATAACAAATTTTTGAAAGACATCAAAAAAGCACATTTCTACAATGATGAAGTAGAAGGCAGTTTACTGAACGTAGGCAGATAATTAATCGTTTGAAATGTGTTATTTGTTGTGATATAATTGTTATGGTTTTCATAATATAGTTTATATTTGCTCAAAGTCAATTTGGATCTTTGTGCCTCGCCCGCTCCACATATATACTTTTTATTAAACTTTACTTCAATTCATCGAATGTTACTTGAAACCTTTCAAGAAGCAGGTCAAAGAAAAAATACTTAATTCATTTGCTATCTCTCCTCGCAGAAATTTGAAAATTTTGTATAAGCTCAGTAGTACTTACATTATACACAAAAATCAGAATCCAAAAAGAATCTTGAAAAGTTGAAACGTAATCAATAAGTCGAAAGACCAAAAAAAACTTGTATTGGATTATACCATGTTTTCTGTAGAAAGTGTAAAAATTTTCCAGTTTGATTGTATTGACAAAATATAGACAAACTAATGGGGTTTATTATTTTTGTAATACCTCATTGTATATAGCATTCAGACAACACATCCTTATACACTTAAAGTATTAATATTTTTGATTCTCTAGAAATTGTTCAGAATATACCTTACTTAGCAAAACAACGTTTGCCGGGTCAGCTAGTAAAATATAAATAAAACATTTTTATACACGAGACAAATTTCTCAGTAAGTAATATCTCTTCTTACATATATATATATATAAATATATATATATATATATATATATATATATATATAGTTCTAGGTGATATCCTTCATCTGATAAATAATCATTTTTCTACTTACTGCTATCAAGCTAGAGCTGACGCTCGGCCTGCCCCTAGTAGACGAAAAGTGTTCAATGACCTCCCAGTTGCTCCTCCTCGGCATTGGCGGCGTTCCAGGGGTCCCCGAAAGGTTCGAGTGACCCATGGAACCCGACAGATTACCCGTGGCCGAACCGCCGTGCAACCGGCGACCGTGCAAGACGGGCGAATCCGTTCCGGCGCGGGAACATTGCCGAAGAGAGGCGCAACGGCGGGTTAGACGAGGGCGGAAGACTGCCGATTCCTGGGAAAAAAGGAAAATGATATATATATATTTTTTTTTCAATTATAATATTTGTTACAACTGCTAAATAATTTAACATCTATTAACAATAATGAACAATAAAGTAAAGGGTATGGGCGCATTGCCATACAGAATCGGCCCCATCTGGTATTAAAATATTTCAAATGCAATTTTAAAGGTCTTTTTAAAAAAAAAAAACGATATACCAATTTTCAACTTTGTATCTCACCTTATGGCCGAGATATCATTGACAATATGTGAAAGTGGCCCCTTTTTTCAAACTCACTTTTTGGCGTAACCATAAAAGATATCAAAAAACATAGTGGCTTAGGACACATTATGTAGAACAATCGGTAACAAATAATCATATATTATTAGCTGAAAAAGATAAAATAATTTTTCAATTGATGTTTTCCGGTAGTGCGCTTGGTTGGACCACCTTCTAATTAGCGTTATTCGAAAGCCTATTGATTTATCTTTTAGTACTGAAAATATTGTTTAAATCAATTTGGTGAAACACATTGGAAAATTGAAATTCAGAGTTTCTTAAGAATGGTTTAGGGCGCATAGCGCACTGCTTCGCGTCCATACGAACTCCATGCAATTGCAAGACTATTAGCGTTTCGCGCGGGTGTACTGGATCCGGTTTTTTTCAATTTTCCAATGTGTTCCACCAAATCGATTTAAACAATATTTTCAGTACTCGAGAGTCGAGAAAAATCTAATTTAGAATTGAGCTGGACAAAAATCTCATTAGGAATTGTACTTGATATAAATGTAATTTATTATTGGACTCGATAAAAATCTAATAAGAAATTGGATTCAAAAAAATCTAATTAGACTCATAAAAAATCTAATTAGAAATTATACTAAAAAATGTAATTAGAAACCAGATTAAATATAAAAAATCTAATCATAAATCGAACTAAAAAATCTAATTAGAAATTAGGTTCGACTAAAATCAAATTAGAATTTGGACTAAAAAAGAAACAAATTAGCATTAGACTCAAAAAAAAAAAATTATTAATAAGACTCAAAAAACTTTAGTTAGAAGTTGTACTCGACAAAAATCTAGTTAAGAATTGGACTTGACAAAAATCTAGTTAGGAATTTGATAAAAATCGAATTAGCAGTTAAACTAGACAAAAATCTAACTAGAAAATGGACTCAAAAAAATTCGAATTAGGAATTGGACTGCACAAAATTCTGATTAGAAATAGTATTCAAAGAATGTAATTAACAATTGGGCTCCAAAAATTCAAATTTAGAATGATGTTTGACAGAAATCTAAATAGTAATTGTTCTTAATACTCAAAACAGGAATTTGAGTAGACAAAATTCAAAATAAGATTTTGACTCCATTTTTTGATCACAAAGTCGACTCGACAAAAATCTAATTAGAAATTAGACTCGATAAAAAATCTAATTAGGAATTGGGCTCGACAAAAATATAATAATAAATTGGACTCAAAAAAATCAAAGTATAAGTAAGACAAAAATCAAATTATGATGAGTACTCAAAAAAATCTGGAAATTGGACTCGACAAAAATGTAATTAAAAACTGCGTTCAATGAAAATCTGGTTAGAAATTGGACGTGACAAAAATTTAATTAAAATTGGACTCGATAAAAATCGAATTAGAAATTGGCCTCGACAATAATCTACTTAAAATTGGACTCGACAAAATTCGAATTAAACTCGAAAAAAATTGGACTCGAAAAATCGAATTAGAAATTGGATTTGAAACAAATTTGAGTAAGAATTGGATTGAACAAAAATCTAATTGGAAATTTTACTCGACAAAATTATAATTGGGAGTTACACTTGACAAAAATCAAATTAGAGATTAGAGTCGACAAAAATCTAATTAGAACTCGACAAAATTCGATTTAGAAATTGGATAAAAATCTAGTTACGAATTGGTCTGTATATAAATTTAATTATAAATTGGACTCGAATAATAGTAAAAATTTGAAACATTTGCAAAAAAAATATACTTCAAAATTAATAACAGATCAAGTATAAATAGTTAAAGTTAAAATAAAATATATATAAATAGTATATATGTATATATAATATTTTTCGATGCTTGGTTATCGATTGAAACTAGCTACTTAAATATTTGCTGATCGTTATTCAGTTCCAAATAGTTTCAAAAGACTTTAAAGTCTCTATATATTTATTATCGTAGTTAAAGCTATAGGATTATCGTTTTAATTCTTCGTAGATAATCTTTATGGTTCGGATTATACGAGTCCATTTATTAACTCGATGAGTATCATTATTTTAAATGAACATTCACGACGGAGTTTGAATTTTAGGAGACTTCATTTAATTCGTATATGAAATACGACACGACTTAATAACTAATCATATAATATATATATATATATATATATATATATATATATATATGATCATATATAAATCATATATAAAATAAATGATATAGAATAAATAAAAACTTCATCAAATAACTATAACAAAACCATTGTTCATTAGCCTATTATAATTTGAGATATTTTGATATTTTTAGAAAACCATGTCGGAACTTGAATTCTACATGACTTCCCTAATAATTATTTTACATAATTATAGTTCAAATTCAATTTAAACCCTAATTCTGTTTCCTTTATCAAAGTGATAAATTTGGAAGTAGATCTTGCATATAATAATCTTCCTACGTGACCCAATCCCCGGACTTTGCGTTATAATTAGAAACGATGAGCAATTATTTATGAGGTCGCTACAAAAAGCCTTCTAATTTATTTGAAGCGACAGCAAATTGAAGTCCTTTTGGCCCTTTTATTTGGAGGAAATTAATTTGAAATTAATGACCGACCGGAGACCAGGCATGAGAATGGTCACATTGTTAATTGATTGTATCGTAATAAACTAATTGTATGAAAGGTACAGGAAATTTAGTTAGGGATGTTCTATTTAGGTTTAAAATAAATATATATATTTTATTATTACGAAATTTCATATTTAATAAAAATTTTGTTGTTCTTTAGTAGGAATTTTGGTTTTTCTCCTTCATCCACTTAATACCATCTCTAAAGTCTCTTAGTTCTTGAAGAGACTTTCCTTAGAAGTTATCTGAAGCGTGTATCCTCCTTTATTATGGGGTTTACAACAAACAGAAGCAATTATATAGTTTGTATTCATACAACAAACTGAAATTCAATTACCTCTCTGACTACTAGTTTTACCTTATATATTATATTATATTGTTGGATTAAACGGTCTGTTCTGCATACGACGTCTAACTTTACAAAATGTCTTGTGGGCTTTCACTAGCTTTTGTAAAAAAAAAATAATAATAGAAGACGGAAAATATAAGTTTCTCTGTGGAAACTATATGAGAAAAATACACTTTGGTGAAAGGAAATTTTAAATTGGCTCTGAGGAAGTGAATGTTTCTTCAAGACTTACAACTATTTTGTAACTCGGTAATAAATTTTTCTTGATGAAATTTTTTACTGTGCTAGATATCATGATTCTAAATAACAAGTAGTTTAATTAAAAACTAGTTGGTATTGGTATTTTTGCCTTGAGGCAAGTTACATGAACTTCCCGATTTGTATAAATAATCGACTTAATCCATGATAGATAAATTAATTTATGAGTAGTTAAAAGTATTCAAAGTGGATTTATTACACATTATTGAAAATCGAACACGTCAACCCGGTCGAAGTATTTTTTAAAAGCAAATATTCAAAAATCAATAATTTTTATAATTGAGCCAGCTTTTCGTAGGACTTTAATTGTTTAGTACGTTCATTAAGACCAAGTACTCTATAGTTATACTAAGTAAATCGTCTAATTTTAATTTTAGCAAAAGTCAAAAGAACTCATTTTCTCAAACTTTGATGAATTTTTAAAATTAAACTACTTGTCGTAAGGCCGTAATATTTTAGTAAGTTCTTTAAGACCATGATATATATCGCCGAAAAAATTTCCATGAAAATCGGCTTAAATTTTTTTTTCAACAGTTAATTACAAAAAAACGGCTCGGTAGATTTTCACCTAAAACCAATCAGTATCATTCCTAACTAATATCTTTCGAACAGTTTTTGATTTAGTAGTATGAGCTTAAATGTGGACGAAAAGTTTAACACTTTTTACCAAATTACAAAGAAACGGTTCGGCCGATCGTCGCACAAACTGAGAAACGATAATCCTCATCGAGATACATCAAATGGTTTTTAAATTTTTGAAATGGGTTCAGGCGTTTTTGAGCAAACGTCGATGAAAGTTCTAATTTTGACAAATGCCAAAAAAACCATATTAATTTTTGCAAACCTTGGTGAATTTTTTAAGCTAAACGAGTTGTCGTAGGACCGTAATATTTAAGTATGATCTAGAAGACTATGGTATCTACCGTCAAAATAATAATAATAAAAATCTACGAAAAAAAATTTCTTAACACCTTATTACAAGAAAACGGCCCGGCCTCTACGAAAAACTAATCAGCACGATTCCCAACCAATCTCTTTCGAACGGTTTTTGAATTTTCAAAATCGATTCAGAATTGCAGGCTAAAACATAGACAAAATTTTTTCACTTTTCTACGATTTACAAAGAAACGGCTCGTACGATCGTTGCAGAAAACTCAGAATCGCTAGTCCTCATCGAAATACATCGAATGGCTTTTAAATTTTTGAAATCGGTCGAATTGTTTTTGAGAAAACGTCGATTTATGGCAAAAAATCTGTTCACACATATGCACACACACACATACTTTTTCTAAATTTGGTCTCATTCGATTCAGAATGGCTTGTAACGTCGAGAAAACATAAAATTAGCAATTCGGATTTTTTTATGAAAACATAAACTTCTCCTTCGGGAAGTTAAAAAAAAACATCAAACTTTGATAAATTGCACGTCGTTTTCGTGAAATAATTGAAACGATTTTAAAAGTCATGTAAGAATGAATAATAGATTCTTCAATTTTTTATTATTATTTTTTTTTTGTATGATTTTATCAAAAAATCCT